AACAACTGTATTTGAGATTAAGAATGAGTCAGTAAGGAGAGTCTTTTAACTGGGTCAGACCCTCTTCAGTTGGATTTTTTCGATGACTAGCAGTTCAATATTAGGGGTACATTGATAGTCTTTGGAATATGAGCAAAATATCAAGATGGTTATGGGAAAAAAGTGATGGTTATGAAAGATGAATAATAACAGAGTAATCAAAATTTGAAAGAAGAAGAATTTTTTCACCTTGATCTGAGAACTTTTTTTTTCTTTTTTTTAGGCCTTGCAGGGTTTATAAAGCTACCCCAGAGATTTTCAAATCACATTATGTAAAATTAAGAAATTAAACACACCTCCAGTGAGCAGGAAACAAAATAGTGAATCAAATTCTTACCGCTAATAAAGGCTCATCAATCAATCTTCCCAGATACTTCTTCTGTTGTTCTTTGTTTCCGGTAAGGATGACAGGCATTTGCTGGGGAAAGAAAAATAAAAGAAACATCAATCTCTGGATACACATTTTCTTTCCTCTTGTTTTCATGAAATTTAAATATCCAAAATAATTTTGAAACTTCACGAGCTGTGTGGAGGCAGGCATTTCCCATCCTACATTTATAGTTTCAAAAACCTGTGTATAACCAACATGAAAGTGTCTCATGGACCATTTTTTGGAATTTTCATAAATGCAGTTTCTTTGATGGCTCCATTTTGAGATGGTTCAGAGGCGCCTACTTTTTTAAATTCATCTCCTAAAATACTGAGGGAGTAGAGCTCTTAGTATTTTTTTTTCAGTTTGTTTTTTCACTCGAAATGACAAATTTCGAAATTCCACCATCAATATGTAAAAAGAACACTTTTAAAAGATCATTTCTCACCAACCTAGGTCTCACATCATTAATGAAAGAAAAGGAAAAGAGATCATTGATGACTAGTAGAAGCAAGCATAATATGCAGTTAATTTAGAAAGCGTGCAGTCATAAAAAATGAGGGCTTACTTACTCCAAGACCAGTTGCTTCGAGCGCCGTACCGATTCCTGTACACCCATAAGACAGTTCTTCTGCTACAAGGCATCCATCAAAAGTTCCCAAATTCATACCACCTACATAAAAGGTGACAAATTAAAAGTTAAAGTAAGCTCAAAAAAATCACTCACCCCTAAATTTGTTGATCCAATACATGATCTAATACCGGCACAACCATAAGAAAAAATTTCAGAAAGCATGCATCCGTCAAACGTGTTCATGTTCAATCCACCTGAGAGTGCAAGAACCAGTAGCAAAACCAGGAGGCATCATTAAAGAAAAGAGTTAGGAAATTAATATTCTCTTTTATATATTAGATATACATTTTCTAGTATTATTTTCTATGTAATATTCTTTCTAATAATTATTATAGTTCATTCATCCTCAATACACTCTCATTCCACAGAAAGCAACAAAGTTGCTAAAGTATGGTGGTGTCCATAAATAACTTTCAGCTTCAAAGGCTGGGTGGAGGTTTTATGTCGTTTAGTGTTTACAGAGGAAGAAGGCGCTAAGCAAAGCATTCCCCAGCAATTTTGAGTGTATTCTTGAGTTTACAAGGTATATGTATTCCATCCGATATCTCCAGCAATTTTGATAAGTGGACACTAGGAACAAGAGGGTTCCACAAAAAAGTGTGACCCTTTGGTTGTATTATTAACTGTAATACTTTAACTTTAGCGCATATGGTTTTTGATGGTATGGAAAACCAGGAAAGTCACGCAATTTGCGGAACCTGGAATAATCAGGGAATTTTGAAAGAGCACGGACAACTTCCACAAGCCTTTTTCCATATTTTGAATCTGCATGAGTGGAAATTACATCCAAAGCTCATTGAAAGTCAGCTTGATTAAAAGGGGAGAAATCTGAGAGGAAATTGTGTTCAAAGGCTGGGAAAAGTCAGAGAATTGTTAAAGATAGTTGAGGAAGTTTGAGAATTCAGAGATTTTGGACTTGAGGAAAAGCAAAAAAGTTGGAGAATTGGAAAATGAAGAAACTGTGCGAGCGTTACCAACTCATTAAAAAAGAGCTTCAATCTATTCAGTGATAATGCAGTTTTTTATATTTGTTTGAGGGGGTGGGAGGGGCTGCCAGAGAGTTGTGGATCTTTACAGTAATGGACTGTCAAAAAAACAGGCTTTAGCATTTCAAGATTAATTTAGGAATGGGCCGAAAGTTCAATATCCAGTTGCTGCGGCTAAAATTCACCTTCTTTCAAGTGATTACTGAGTGAAAATTCTTTCCACGTGATTTTTAATCACAGGTATGTCTTCCATTTGATGGAGGGGGAAGAGCTCAGAAAACTTGAGATTTCACTATGTTATCAAAGTCTCTTTTTATTTGATTACTCTCTTGCCTCTCTGAATCCTGTTATCTTTCCTCTCTTTCTTTCATCTCCTATATTTGCTCATGTTTTTTTTTTCTTTTTTTATTTACTTACTCCCTATAGCCATCACTTTCAAATTTAATCAACTTAATATTCCAGACATACGCTGTGACTTTTAATGGAGGAAATTTTTCAACAATGTGTGCCTCCTTGAACTTCCACCTGAACCTAAAAAGAGGGAGATACAAATTTCTATTATCTCAACAGATTTTTTTGTTAGTCTCAACCTTATGGTCTCTGCGGATCAAGATTTTAAAGGAAATTCTGGTACCTACAAAAATAACAACTGGAAGAGATTTTTTTCTTTATTTTAGTTGGGATAAGATAATTTTTATAAAAAAAACCTGGGTGATTATTAAGAGTCTCAAGCATTCTAGAAAGTTAATAAGCTACTCAGAAATTTGACGTCCAGAGAATACCTTTCTTTGATTACAGATTCTCATACAACCATAGGCGCAGAGTCATAATTTTGCAAGATTTTAGCTCACGGCTTAAATAAAATTTTCTTAATTTTTCTACATAGACATTTTGAAAGATTAAGCTCGATATTCAACATACTAACCGCAATGTGCTGGAATGTGGCCATTGATTAAACCCACTTCATGAGCTTTCTTCACGATTTCCCAAGGAAATTTTCCAGTTTTATCGTGCTCGGCGGCTACCGGAATGATTTCTTCCCGTGTAAACTTCCTTGCAAGTTCTTGCATCTCCTTTTGCATTTCATTCAATTCTGAAAAAACGCACAAGATCCAAACACATGTTCAGAAAAAAAGAGGTACATTTTTATCTGAGCATTTCTGAAATCACGACATTATCAGGAATCTGGAGGGTGTGGAGAGAGCCAACAAATTTAAGGTACTTGGCTATAATTTCTGCACTCTTTCATTGAGATTCTCATCATAATTTGAAACACTAGCATCATTAGAACTAAAGAAATAAGAGACAG